GATCTCAGTCCTCTCTTCTCACCTGGTCATATAGCAGAGGAACAAATGTTCATTTGGAATTAAGCAGCAGCGAATTTAGGTACAGGAAAAGCAAATACTTCATTCTGGAGCTGACTTGATTGCTACCACATGATGAAGCTGAGAAATTTAATGGCTGTTAATAAAGTTCTTAGATGTAATAGATAAGATTCAGTGAAGTGTGAACAGAGCATTTGCAGGGACTAGAGAAAAATTTCTTCCCAGCGTCACATATTTGGCCAGACATATTAGGGCTTCTGCCGTTCAGCATTGGTTGCTTCACATCCTAACCGAATAACCCATTGGGAAGGGTTCATCCTATGCATGATTGCACAGGCAGCAAAGGATCCGTTCGTCTACTTAAAATGTCCCTCCGTTTCCCAGTGATCTCGCTACTGCGTTTGCCTGGGAGGCACCAAGCCCTTTCTACATGACTCCTGACTGCGGCATGCTGAACCCAGGTGCTGAATGCATGGTCAAGGTGGTCTTCCAACCCAAGGTGGCTGTGGTGTATGATGTGGCAGCAACATGCTGGTTTGGAGGTGAAGAGAAACAAAAGAGAACTATCCAGCTAAAAGCCCTGGGTGAGTCTTTCTTGCATTTAGAACTCAAAGAAGTACATATCATCCCTAACTGTGGCATAGCATTCCACAGGGATACATGGAGGTGTTGTGCTCTGAGGCTGTGCCACATTTGACTCAATCCACTGATAAGCAAGTGACGCCCATGATTTGAAAGTGGCCTGTGAAATTCTCTAACGTACTTTTGTCAATTTGGAAGCATGATCTGAAGAGACACGGGTCCGATATGCCCTGTGGCACACTTTGGCCAAAACAGGATTTCTGGAGCCTGCTTAAGTTGACAGAGGGGAAGAAATGAAAGTTCACTGGCACAATGCAAAAACCTCCAGAAACTCCTGGTCTTGTCTGCACTTAGTCTCTCCTGTCTGTCCCTGCTAGATAGAAAGCCAGAGGGAAATTTCTAAACCTTTCTGAATGCAAGCTAGAATAAGCAATAGTTTCATTAGCAAGGCTTTACCTGAAGTGCCTTGTACGGCCACTGACAAACAAAAGATATGACTCTATGTTTAGCAAATTAGGGCTGGAAGGGAGTTTATTTGGTTCAAAGCAGAGCCAACTTTGAAGGTATATCCAACTTCAGAGTTACTTGAGGTTGTTCAGAGGCTTGTCCAATTGAGCGTTGAATATCCAAGGATGGAGATTTCACCTCTCTTTCTTAACCCATTATATTATTCCCTTTAACAGCCAAATACCCCTACCTGCGGGTGAATGTGACAGGGGAAGAGTATGAAAGAGTACAGCCTGGAAAGTTTCGGGATGTGCTGTGCTTTGGGTCAGTGCCAGTGGGGACAACTATGGAGAAGTGCGTCGAAGTCTTCAACATGTCTGTGGTATGTGGAGAGGGAGACTACTTCTTGTTACTGTTCACACCGCAATGGTGCTCAGCATCCCCAGGGAACGATCAGGACCTTTTTTAAGGGGCTTGAGGAAGGCATCAGGGTGCCAGTCTTGCTTTTTATGAAAAGATCATCCCCAGACAAGGTGGAACTGTGAATGGAGAGAAATATGCCTGTCCCCCTAGTCACAGCAGTCACTTAGGCTACTTTGGCCCTTGGGGACACGTTAAGCCATCCTCCCCTCTATGAGGAGGAGCACTACAACCCCAGAGATCACCAGGATGTTTTGCTGCAGCCCTGACTTGTGAGCATATTATGGGAGTTTGCTACCGGCAGCGCACTCCAGCAGGACAGGGTTACAGAGATTTGCACAGCATTTCTCTGCTGGGCCGCAGTAGCCTTGGTGCTCTTGGTGGTGTTCAGCTCTTCGCTGATTAGTGTCCTGCATTCAGAGCCATCCTGGCTCCTGTTGGCTCCTTTGTTAACCTATTTCTTTTCTGCTTGCAGGTTGATGCACCATGTAGGATAGAAAGAGCAAAAGATCCTCTGCTTCAAGATCATGTTTTCTCCTGTGATGTGTCCCATGGTGTCGTCCCTGCCAAAGGGAAGCTGGTCTTGGCCATACGATTTCAACCTCAGACTGTAGGAGAGCACAGTACCGACTATTTCACTATCCTATCTGCTGGATGCCTTCTGCAGACTGTCCTGAAGGTGGTTGGCTCATGTAAAGGTACCAGAGTGAAAGCCTTCCCTGTTTCTCCCTGCCTTCTGCTTAGCACTGCAGGGGAAGGGCTAGTGCTCGGGGAAGGACTAGGCACTGTCACTGTCACAGCCCTCAGTCATAGACTTACCTTCTGCTAGGATCCAGGCTGTCCCTAGTGCACCATTTGGGGTTTATACTTGCTTGAGACAGATATAAGACTGTTGGAAGTGAATGTCCAGCTGTTTGCTAGGACTAGTGGGTTTGCTGATGAGGTGAGTCAGATTTGGGAAGATCGGTTAAGTGCAGCAGTGGCTTGTGACATGTTGACAGGTCCAGGATCTGTCTTGTCTGTTGTTGTGCTAGGTCCTTCGGTGTCCCTGCATCAATACTCTGTGGACTTTGACTGGATCAATCTTGGGGAAAGTTTGGTGCAGACGTTGAAAATCAGCAACGTCTCAGATGTTCCAGCCTATTACCAGTTTGATATTGATGGCAGAGGGAGCGTCTTCTCTTTGGATCGCCCCTGCGGAGTCTTGAAGGGTGCAACAACACTTGCGCTGAAGGTGACCTTTCGACCTACTCACCCCATCAGCTATCACCGCAGAGTGGTGTGCCTTGTCCACCATCAGGTATGAGAGGCAAAGGGTGGTTTCATCACTGTGATAGCTCGGAGGGATCTTCCAATGTAACCCACCAGGGCTGGCCTCTCTCATTTAGTAGCCCCTGGAAATCTCTTCCCACTGCATTTCCGTTGATACCTATCATAGAATCATTTAGGTTGGACAGGGCCTTTAAGACATCAAGTCCAACCATTAACCTGACACTGCCAAGTCCACCACCATTGTCTTTTAAATGCCTCCAGGGATGGTGACTCTACCACTTTTAAATACTTCCAGGAATGGTGACTCCACCACTCCCCGGGCCAGCCTGTTCCAATGCTTGACAACCCTTTCAGTGAAGAAATTTTTCCTAATGTCCAATCTAAACATTCCCTTATTCAACTTGAGACCACTTCCTCTTGTCCTATTGCTTGTTACTTGGAAAAAGAGACTGACCCCCACCTCGCTACATCCTCTTTTCAGGTAGTTTTAGAGAGCTATGAGGTCTCCTCTGAACCTCCTTTTCTCCAGGCTAAAACCCCCCAGCTCCCTCAACTGCTCCCCATCAGACTGGAAATCTCTTCCCACTGCATTTCCGTTGATACCTATCATAGAATCATTTAGGTTGGACAGGGCCTTTAAGACATCAAGTCCAACCATTAACCTGACACTGCCAAGTCCACCACCATTGTCTTTTAAATGCCTCCAGGGATGGTGACTCTACCACTTCCCTGGGCAGCCTGTTCCAATGCTTGACAACCCTTTCAGTGAAGAAATTTTTCCTAATGTCCAATCTAAACATTCCCTTATTCAACTTGAGACCACTTCCTCTTGTCCTATTGCTTGTTACTTGGAAAAAGAGACCGACCCCCACCTCGCTACATCCTCTTTTCAGGTAGTTTTAGAGAGCTATGAGGTCTCCTCTGAACCTCCTTTTCTCCAGGCTAAAACCCCCCAGCTCCCTCAACTGCTCCCCATCAGACTTGTTCTCCAGACCCTTCACCAGCTTCGTTGCCCTTCTCTGGACTCGCTCCAGCACCTCAATGTCTTTCTTGTAGTGCGAGGCCCAAAACTGAACACAGTACTCAAGGTGCGGCCTCACCAGTGCCGAGTACAGGGGGACAATCACTCTCCTAGTCCTGCCGGCCACACTGTTTCTGATACAGGCCAGGATGCTGTTGGCCTTCTTGGCTACCTGGGCACACTGCTGGCTCATGTTCAGCTGGCTGTCGACCAACAGCCCCAGGTACTTTTCCACCAGACAGCTTTCCAGCCACTCTTCCCCAAGCCTGTAGCGTTGCATGGGGTTGTTGTGACTCAAGTGCCGGACCTGGGCTCATGTTGAGCAGAATCCCCACGGCGCAGGTTCCTATCAGCAGCAGAGGGCTAATGCAGACAGACAGTCAGTAATGCCTATGGGTAGGGTGAGGTGCATCCTCAGTGGCTTGTGTCCATTTAGGTCTCTGAGTTTAAATTTAGCTGCATGGCTGTGCACTGAGTGCCTTCAATTTTCATTCCAGTTTCAAGAAAGATCTTGGGACAGATCAAGACATAGAGTAAATGGCAGTCTAACATTGGAGATGATAAGCCTTTCCCAGGCATGGTTTTGAAGTGAGGTATTAGGATGGTGTAACTCTCAAAGCAATCACAGAAGGGCAGTTTATTTCTTATCATCCTTTCCGGTGTTTTCCCAGGAACCCATGTATGTGGATTTTTTTGGTACCTGCCATTCAGATGCAGCTAAGCCAGCCATCCTTCAGGCAAGACACCTCTCCTGGTACCGAACCAACATGGTGAGGGGACTGACCTTCTACCCCCCTGATATCCTGAGTGTGATGCTGAAAGATGGGAAGCTGCAGATGGATGAAAAAGGAGCCCTCATGCTGCCCGACGAGGTATGGGCTGCCTTCCCTGGAATCTAAAATAATCCCATGCTGTTGATGTTGGGCTTCTGTTGCACAGTCCAGATGGATCTAGAAGGACTTGCAGGTGCCACACTGATTTCTTTAATATCTCTGCAGTTAATGTTCCCAGCACACGCCCACACTATCTTCGTTGGTTGGGTCTTACCCAAGCTCAGCCACTAAGCCACTTTCTGGCTTTAATGCAGTCGAGGGGTCTTCTTTTGCTTCATGTAGTTTCAGATTGAGAACTGGCTTACAAACAGGAGCCTCCTTGAAGCCTAGACTTTGAGCTGTCCTGGGAACTGTTACTGAAGTGCATCTTGCATGCCCTCTTGCTCATGAAGGCAATCAGGGCTCTAGTGCCTGGTGTCTCCCACAGGCACACTTCCCGTGCTCACGCTGAGATGTTTCCATCCTGTAGATCCCTCAGGACAAGCCTCCCAAGGAATACTTCGAAGCCAACTCCATGACTGAATATTTCTACAATGGTGTAAACAGTGACCTGGCCTTGTTTCCCCTTCATGTTAGTGTCAGCCCCAGAGAGTACGATTTTGGTTGCTGCGTGCCGCTTCACAAGGTAGAACCGCTTCCTCTCTCTGTGACAAACCACACCAAAGGAAATATCACTGTTGCCTGGACTCCAAGCCATGGCAGTGCCTTCCAAGTGAGCCCCGAAATCTGTGACATCCCACCTTTGAAGTCTTCAGCCTTCCGTGTCCTTTTCCAGCCCACTCAGCTCAACAGTCTCTATGCAGCAGAGCTGGAAGGTTTTGCCTTCTACAAGGTTAGTAGGAATTACTAAGACCAGTTTCCAGAGAGGGCCTAGCAAGCAACTGTTTGCAGGCTAAAGGCTTCTGGGGGAGTTAAAATTCAAATGGAACCTTTTATTTTGAATTTGGTAAACTGGCATGCATCTTTATTAACTCCTTTGGCCACTGCTTTGATGCACTGGTGGGTTAAAATTTTTCCTTTACCTGTGTCCTGGAAAAGATAAATCAGCAAAGCAAGCCACAGCTCATGCATATGGACAGTGACACTTACTCTTACCCCTAGTGAATGTGAAATAATGTACACCTCACTGAAGAAGGAATTACTGTGCATTACTGCACTATTAGCATAGATGGAAGCCTACACAAGGATGGTTGGTGTGGCCTGGGTGATGGGCAATAACTTGATTTTTGTGTCTGGCCCTCCACAAGTAAAGCTGCTGAGAGCACTGTATATCACTGCAGCCTCTCCTCCCATGTGACGTGGGATTCATGTCACACAAGGCTGCAATTGCAGAAGTTTTAGCACCCAGAAACATCCTGGTAGGTGAGAGAGATGTTCATTACGCTATTGATTACTCTTCTTGCATTTTTTCCCTTCTAAGTCAGCGTACAGGATATCTGGGACTAACCTTAGAGTCAGGAGTTTGTTAGGCTTAGGTAAAAGACAGACAATTATTTTCAGTGACTCACCATTAAATGCTAACTTTAGCATCTGCAAGTTTTTCAAACTGCACTAGAGTGTTTGTAGACCTTGCTTGCCTAGCACCATCCTTGCCTAAGGATGGGTCCTTCTGCTTGAAAGTCACTCAGTGGTCTTTTGGGTCTAAAAAGTAGCTATTTGGGAAAGCAGCACTCATGCTCCTCATCTGGCACTGGTCAGTCCTTCTTCCCTGAAAAGGTCAGTTCCTCAGCCCTGAGGATGTCATTGAAACAAACTGCTGCCTGTGATGGTACACGTGCCTGAAGGCACCTTGCCACGCTCCCTTCCTGTATGCGCTCTGTTCTGTCCCTTGCGTGCCTGCAGGTGCTGAGACACTACAGCAACGTTGAGGAGGATGCCACCATCTGTCCCTCCTGGTGCCTGACTGTCAGGCTGAGAGCACACACATATGAAGCAGAACGGAAGCACTTCATCCCACAGTACACCCTGGATGTCCCCAAGGTGTGTAACTGATTGTTTGGATCTTTGCAGAGATGCTCAGTGTTTACCTCTGAAGTCTTTACCTCATCTCCCATTGCACCTTTTTGAGACGTGGCTTATGTGGTTCCTGATCGTCTGGAGATTCCTACTTTGGTACAGAAATCGGATGCTCTATCCCCTGCATTAGCTTCGCAGCCTCCAGTGTGTCAGGTTGCACTGAGCACCCCATTAACTCCCAGAGCTGGTGGGATGCTAGCTGTTGGGATCTCCTTCCTTTCTGCTTAAGTGGACATAGGCACTGAGGAAGGTGCTTAGTCCCCTCCCAGGAGCCTCAAACACTCTGCATGCCCTTAGGCAAATGGAGGGCAGCACACAGAATCCACACTTACGGAAGAGGTTACAAGGTAGAGTGGAAGTTGCCCTGACCCTTTCTGTTGTTTCTGTAGCACAAGTAATGTTGCTATGAGGTAAAGCGAGATCTGACCCTAGGAAGTAAGAATAATCTTGAGAACCTCTTAGAAATTCTCTTCAGCTAGTCCAGGACATGCAGCCTGTGTCTGATATGCATGAGCTGGAGCAAATTCCAGCCTACTGGAATTCTTAATCCAGGAGGTCACTATCCATGCAGAGACTGCAGGCCCCAGCAAGCAGCTCGCTTAGTGGATGAGCAGAAAGCATTGCATAATAGCAAGTAGCTTCATTGGTCCCACGAGCCTATGAAAGGTGAAGGCTTCTGTGGGAAGGGAAAAGACCACAATTTGTATACTCTTGAGTGATTTCCTTTCTTTCCTTGAAGAGAAACAGTTACGAAGTTCTCCATAGACTCAGGATAGTGCTTGTTGGAACCTGGAATTCTACATAGTGAAAGCTTTTTCTTTATGCTGTTTTTCTAAACCCAGTACAAACTACCCTTCTTGCTTGTCTCCACCAGACTTTTCCTCCTGTGGCTCCTAACACTGATACCTACTGCAGTATGCTGCTCTTGAACACGGGCACCTCTTTGATAACCTTCAGTGTGAACCAGGATGCCTGTCCCTCTGTTTTGGTCAAGCCCTGCTCAGGACACATAATTCCAGGAGGCCACCAGATTTTCTTTCTCTCCACTCACCCAGTTAACACAGTCTTGCAGCAGCATGTCCTGCCTTTGCAGCTGAACTCTTATCCCGGATACACCAAGGTAGGCAGAGAGTAGAAGAAGATGGTGAGCAAAATTTTGTTCCCTTGTAGTCTTCCCTTTTCACAGTGACTTGCGTTGTGATCCCTGTTACATCTCCTAACAGTTAGTTTGGATTTTTTCCTTTGGAAATAGGAGCGAAAGAATATTTTCAACATTTAAGGTGGGCTCAATGCTGCAGATAGAAGGTGCTTGTGGTGCCAGACATCTTGTACCCCTTGTTCTCTTGGGTTTCCCTCTCCTGGAATGCACTATTCTATGCTCAGGGCCCTCCTTGACAGCGCAACCTAAAGTCTGCCTTCAGACCCCTCTGCCTTCAGACCCAGTTTACTCTTGCTTCTCTCTTGGAAGGAGCAACATCTTTGCAAGGTCCCTCCAGAGGTAGCTGAGACTTCTAGCTAACATCTGTTACTTTTCCCTTAATTCCACAGGAGATTGCTCTCCAGAGCTGTGGGGAGTCCCTTCTTTTGCTCTTAGAAGGTGAAGGAAATCTGTACTTCAAGCCTGTCTATATAGGGACCTCCTCTACACGAATGTATACCATAAAAAACTGCTCAAGGCTACCCATGGTTTTCATATGGAAGATCCATCAGTCTAACAGCAAGATCCTGTCTGTCAGCCCCACTGCAGGGATCCTCCAGCCCTATGAAGCCATGGTAAGTTCAAGTTCTACCAAAGTTGTATTTCGCTCTCTACAATACAGCTGCAGAGTGTTTAGAGCAGAAATGTGAGGGCTGTCAATCATTTGGTCATTAATGCCCAAGTTGGAGAATATCAGTCAGTGTCTTAGCTTGGGTTGCTAGCCAGCATCTGCAGTCATGCTGGTTCCCACAATGTGGATTTGCCCAAACGTGATGACATCTTCCTTGACTACAGGACCAAATGGGTTTTAAACAGGCACTGGATAATGATACTCTGGGTGGGACTGGGCATTAACACAGCAGCAACTTTGTCATGCAGCGGGAGGTGTTAATAGACAGAGGACAAATGAGAGCATGAGAAGGTTTATGATGTTCTGTTTTCCCACCTGTAAATTCAGGTTCTAAACTTCTACTGTATTCCCTGAGTGCTTTTTGAGAGTAGTAAAGACTAGCAGAACTCCACAGTCTGGCTTTGAAAATCTGAATGTGCATTCCCAACATGAACCTTTGACACAGGCAGAGATGGTGGAGGATTGGAGTGAGACCTGTCTGTAGAGGACTAGGTTAGCTGTAATGGAGGAAGAGGCTGTGCATTGAATGCAACTGTACTGGTCTATAGGTTTGGCTCTGGTCTGAAGCTCCTGTGAGCACTCTCCTTCCCTCTTGTGATTTTAGGCTCAGGCATGGACCTTTACTCCTGACAAGGAGACCAAGTATCTGCTGCGAGCTATGGTGTTTGTGAGGAGGAAAAGCCTAGACGCCGTATCTCCCAAAAGTGTCCATTATGCCTTGCGAATTGTTGGAGAAGGGGTGCTGGGCACCATCAGGGTAAGGAACTGGGGCCCACTGGGTAGTAGGAGGGGTACTAGGGTGAGGTGGGGGGTTTGGGCTTCTCCTTTTTGCACAACCTGTACTGGAGGCAGCCAATAAGGATTTGCAGCAAAATTCCCAGACGCTGCTTTCAGTGGAGATAACAGAACTGACTCTGACAGCCTAATGGCAACAGCATGATGTAAATATCCTGCCAGTTCAAATGTGACCCGTCCAAATCCTCTGGGATCACTCTCAAATCCTCTGTTCCAGACTGAACTGAGCAAGCCATTTGGCTTCTTGGGACTCCCAGCTCTCTCCTCTCATTCTGCCCACTCTCCTTCTCCACTAGTTCTGCCATCAGTCTGATTTTTAAGTGTAGTGGACCTACCTGTCAAAGTGGTGTAGCCAGCACACATCCACCTGGCTTTTCTCCTATTATGTGCAGATCTGTGCAGCCACCTTCATTTTCAGGCAGGTTTCTTAAGGAACCAGAGCTAAATAAAATAATACTTTGTAAGTCATTGCCCCATATCAATCATGTTGGACAGATAGGTGGTAATATCTTAGAGGTATTTAGTCACTATAAATTGCATACGAGTGGATGACTAGCCAAAAGAGAGGGGGACTCTTAATGTAGTCACAGAGGGACCAGCAGACGTATCTCAGCCCTTGTCCCAAGCGCAGCTGGCCAGCTAGTGTCCTCACAGCCTTGAATATGCTGCGTCCTACCCAGCGAGCAGCCTAAATAGCAATAGGAGAAAGTATTTGGAGAAGGGACTGAGCCCCTTGCAGCCCTGTTCCAACATGTCCCAGGGCATGCCAGGACCTACACAAGGCAGGGAGCCCTTTGCACTGCACTGTGCATGCCAAGGGATCGGCATGGGGTGAGATAAGTGGTGGCTACACTCAGCCACCACGCTCGATCTGTAACGGCGACCTTTGCACGGCGGGTTTGTATTCCAGGCACAAAAGGAGCACCTGGACCTTGGAAATGTTCTGGTTGGTGACCTGCAAAGCTGCAGTGTTGTACTGCTAAATGATGGGATCTGTTCTCTGAAGTACGTCCTCAGTGTGGAACAACTGATCACCGGGCCTTGTGACCCCGAGGAGGTCCGCAGCGATCCGCTGGGTACTGTAGGGGAATTAGCATGAGATGGGGCCTTGGCTTTCTCCTCTTTTCTGCAAAATCAATCTAGCATGAACTTTGAGGTTGGGCTGCTTGCTGGCTAGCTTGCATTGCTTCTCAAGTGCCTTAAGGTATCTGCTCCTTTGCTTAGGGATTTGCTACAGGTGACTCTTCTATCTTACTGGAAAAAGCATAACCCAGAGCCTGACAATTGAAGTTAGACCAATTTGGACCTTGAAATAAGATACGATTTCCCAGCAGAGAAGGGATTTAAATAGAGGAGCTTCCCAGAAGAAATTAAATTATCCTGAAAATTCTATGAATTTTTGCTACAAGTTGTTTTGTTTTTTTTTAACCAAGCTAAGGCTTCAACAAATTACTTGACACAGATGAGATGAAGTAGTGTTAGATAAGTTTTACAGCCAGCATGTGTGTTGCTGAACAGTACAAAGCCAGTGTCCTACAATGTCATACACCAGTAACTGCTGAGCCTACTATTGGATAAATACATCATTTTATGGAACATTCATTGTTCTGTAAACCCAATGTTCTATAAACCGTTAGCTGCCTTTCTAGACGACCTCCTCTGGGGAAGTTCCCTGTTCTTTGCTGGCCAAAGGCAGGCTTGTTGTAGTCTGGGAATCCCAGTCTGTAGTCCCAGTTGTAGCCTGGGAATACCAACTTCAACACCTGAAGGTGGTCCTAATGATTAGACACAGGAGTGGGCAGTGGCTTGAGTGCAGGTAGGCTTAGGGAGCTGTGTGCTGAGCACGTGTGTGGTAAGAAAGATCTGCGATGCCAAGAGCTCATACCACCTCTTTTCTTCTACAGCTCTTGAGCTGGAACACTCCAGAGGGACAATCCCCGCAAGGTCAAAAGCTTTTGTCCGAATAACAGTCAGGCCAGCCCGTCGGTTGCATTACACCTGGTCAATCAAATATGCTCTTTGCACCCCCACAGGTGAGAGGCGGGTATTTTGGGAAAATCATTCCCTCCCAACGAAGTAGACCATGTCGTAACAGGCTGAGCTGCACAGTTCCCAGTGTATGAGTCTTGCCTGAAGAAATCCTGGTGATGAGCAGTTTGCCAGAGCCAGATCCTATGTGCTGTCTCCTTTTTGCTGCACCTTTTGGGGTTAGATATGATTAAGCCATAAGACACTGACCTAGAGAGCTTCAAGTTTCCTGCTGCTGTGGTCACAAGATTCCCTGCTGCTGTGCATGATCATGGCCTTTTACGATATGTCCTGAAATACATCCTGAGAGTTTCGTGCAACCAGTCCTATGCAGCTGGAGAATGGCAATGCCACAAGAATGGTATGGAGAAGACAAGATATAAACAATTGTTTATGATTTTTCAGTATGAAACAAGGGGTCTAGGCTGTAGGCTTAAATCCACAAAGGGGTTTTTCACATAGTGCAGAATTAAACTATGTAAATACACTGTTGAGAAGGATGACATTTGTAGTCTTTTGGTGGTCTCTAAATGCAGAAGTCAAGGTACAACTAGAATTCAGTGGTTTAGAGGTTTTCAGAAGCTGCCAAAGAACAGACTAGGTACAAGTCCTGTTCTTTCTTTCTTTGGTCTGGGTAGGGCCTCTCTCCATTTTGCTGTCTCGGCAGCTGCCCCTTAATGGTGCATGACTACTTTTTGGTGTTTCTTTCTCTCCCAAGCTACAGATCCTGCAAGTACAGAAGAGGAGAAGCAGCCCCTCTGCTGCATTGTAGCAACAGGCGTCTACCCAACTTTATGCATCGCAGATGCCTGTTCA